TGAAAGAAGGGACTCGGAATAAGGCACTTGGCAAACTTGGATACTGGCTTGAGGGGAGGGAAAGAAGGTCTAGGCTACCTAAAGTGTATTATTTTGGGCCTACAGAATGTCAGGATGATGACAAAAGGCAGTATGCTAAAATATCAGTGCAACACGTGTTCAGTGCTGGGGTAACTGTGAGCTGATTGATCAAACCCCTACAGACTCTGATTTTGTTTACAGTACCTTTCATTCGGGTTTAATGGAATGCTGAGGTCTAGTGATGAGAACAAAAGTGGACAGTGCTGTATAGGATTCTGCCCCTCAAGCCTGTCCAGGAATGAGAGGGGAATCCTATACTTTTACAATACATTAAACAACAACCCAGAGAGGTAGGCTACCCTCTCTGGATTCAGAACAATAAGCCACCAGAATCTCTCAGTATTCTATAATCCCCTCCAGCTCAGAGCAGAGATTCAGATCTCTCAGCTGGCATCTAGGGCTTAACACATTAGCACCTCATTCCCAGAGATGTACACTTAATGCTCAATGGTAGCGTGTGGCCAGGTAGGCACAGGAAATAGACTTGGAATCCCAGTTACAACATCAAAGACAAGTTAGAAACAAGAATAACTTTTTATTCAGCACAGAGCATTGCAAGTAACTATGAAAGATTGAAAAACAATAAGCCTAAGGCAGTTTTGCCTTAAATACACAGTAAGAGATACATATTTACCAACTTCAGGAGTCCATCAGTCCAAATAATATCCAAGGTATACAGTCCAATTAGGTACCAAGGGATTTTTAAGAGGAATCCCATCCTTGCCCTCCATGTGCTCTAAGGCACAAAGCAATCCTTTTATTCTCCAAAAGACCACATGTCCAACAAGCAGGGCGCAGAGAACAGGAACACAAGAACAGAGAGAGAGAGAGAGCTCTCCCATAGGGTTTAAAGCAGATATAGGGCAATTCAGTCTTCAAATTAGCTCTGGCCAGGAGCCAATTGAAGTAAACCTGGGTGTGCCCAATGGTAGGGTTGTCATGGCTACAACTTCTGAATGGTCAGTTGTCTTGGAGGCCACACCTGCAGTTGTGATCCCCCAAGCCTCAACTCTCATTGCGTACGCTTCTAGCATGCTGGCCTAGCTTCCAGCATGGAGGTGTGAAGGTATGTGGTTTATGGCATGGCAATAGAGCTTCTCTGACCAAATGGTCAGCCATCTGGTTTCAATAGGAAATCAACACAGCAGGGACCCATTCCAGGGGGAAGGCAGGGGTTTATAGGAATCAATTTCTATACAAGCCCATAGACCTCTTCATAAGTCATCTCATCTGAAGGCCTACTCTGAATTAAAATTCTTCTAGGGTCCTCCAGCCACCTCCAAAGCCAACAGAAGTCAAAGTCTTGAGAGAACGTCTCACAGATGGTGCCGCTAAACCAGAAGTAAGTCAAGGGCCTCTATAATGGAGGCGTGAATCAGGGATGTTGTAAATGAGACATTCTTCTAATTAATTGTAGTCAATACAGCAATGTTTTGAGAGACTGGCAGCAATGAACGCTACCAGTAGCCCTGGACAGATGTTCCCTTACTGAGCTAGGATTTCATTGGGTCATGCTGCTGCATCCCTGGAGGGTACTTATTCCGGACAGCGCCCTGACCGGAAGAGCCCAAGCTAGCCCAATCTCGTCAGTTCTCGGAAGCTAAGCAGAGTTGGCCACGGCTAGGAATTAGAAGGGCAACCTCCAAGGAATACCAGGGCCGTGATGCAGAGGCAGGCAACGGCAAGCCACCTCTGAACCATCTCTTGCTTAAAAAAACAAGTCTAGCTCGCCACCTAGTGGTGCATAATCTTAGGATCTCGTGGCTATACTACACACAATGCCATAAGATAATTAATTAATTCCAGACAGTTTGATGACTTTGTATTGCACTTTAGGGGAGGTGCTGTGGTTCAGTGGCTGTGCCTGCTTTGCATGTAGAAGGTCCCAGGTTTAATCCCCAGCGTCTGCAGTTAGAAGGATCAGGTTGTAGGTGGCGTAGGACCTCTGTTTGAGGCCCTGAAGAACCACTGCCACTCAGACCTTGTGGGTTGGTAGAGGCTATCACACTCTCTCTTTTTTTGTATTTTTGCATTTGTGTGTGTGCGTGCCTGGGCCTGGAAGACACAATGACCACTGGTGACTCCTCCTTGGGCATGCAGAATGTTCAGAGAAATGGCTTTGGTAGCCTGCCTCTGCCTCCTGGCCCTGGTATTCTTTGGAGGTCTCCCATCCAAATACTTGCCGGGGTCGGCCCTCCTTAGCTTCCAAGATTTGATGAGATCGGGCTTGCCTGGGCTGTCTAGGTCAGGACCACACTCTATCTTGAGTGCATGGCTGCTCAATGACACTTTACGGATCACAGCTCTCTAGAAGAGTGCTGTTTCTCATTGCCTCTTTCCTGCGTGTATTTAAGTTGGGACACTTGTGGAGAGGATCCCATATTGACCTTCACCCAGAACAACTGTTGAGAAGGTGGTCCTCCATGGTCTTTTCCTTTGAGAGCTTCACCTCTTTCACTCAGTGAGCTTGCTAATCTAACCCATGTGGGACTGCACAGAAGCCACAACGATGAAAATGGGGTTGCTCTTAACCTGTAACTGTTGTTCACTGAGTGGTTTTCTCTGCAGGCAGGGTGACGAGAGTGAGAGCAGGTATTCTCATTCTGTTGCAGTTGTTGCAAGAGTTTGTCCTTTCCTGTTGGGGCCAGGGTCTTCCCAATTGCTTTTTTAAAAAATAAAACCATTTTTGTGATTTATGGTGCTGATAATCTTTGTGTTAGAGTATACTTCTACTTCTATACTTCTAGAGTACTGACTTCATTTCTTAAAAATTTGCTTCTACTGAATTCAGAGTGCTTTGTGTGAAAGAAAATAACCTTGCACCTTTTTGAGGTTTGCCTCTCTCTCCTTTTTTTGCCTGTGTCTTGTGATTTGTGCTCCCAGTTGTCAAACCAGGGCTTAGCCTTGCATCTAAACTGTGCACATGGCCTATGTCCGATAGAAATAACTTCTGCAAGCCTAAACAAAATAGAATTGGTGAAATCCAAATTTGCTTTTAGGCGTCTAAATTTCTCCCATGAAATTCAGCTTTTTGCTTTGAACAGGAAGATGGGCATGGCTTGAGTGTGTCTTGTGTGTGTTCTTTAGGAAGGCAGTCCGCCAACTGAGTGCCTGACAGGTGACTGTACCGTGTGGGCTAATCACTTCAACAAAACCCTGGCTTCCAATCCTAATGATACCAGAGACTTTGCTCGTGCGGCACGATATGTCTCCACACCATTCGGCTCTGTTCCGGTACACGCCTGCCAAGTGACACGGGACAAAGGTGAAGTACTGCAGTAGGAAGAATGTAGATCAGGACGGCAAAATAATTTTGAGGAATTACTCCAGTAGGACTACATAGAATGTATCATTAAAACGCTGAAGAACTTAGCACTGTGACATCAAAGAGAAGGGGGAGCCATGAGGGGAGGGGGAGGAACAGCTCTGAGACCCCTGTAAAGAGAAGAGTCAGGCAAGAACACCCACCCCCCCACCGCCTGAAATTCTTTTCTTGAAACCAACCAGCAAGGGTAGCCTTTGCTCTGTGCGTCCTTTGCTCTCCTTCGCAACGCTGTTAGTTCTGCAGTCATGGATGACTCAACACTAATAGGTAAAACTAAATGCTGGCAGGTGTCCACTGTTTTATTAAACAGGCAAATATTACTTTTGAGCCTGGGCATTTTTTATTCAATGGGGAGAATAAATTAGCCAAACTTCCTTTGAGAGTGGGCATTTAGAGAATTGCAAGGGTGCTTGCAGTGGCAATTCTTACAAGACCCTGTTCCTTGAGGAAAATTTCATGAACTAAACATGCTGGAAATCTCTGTTTAATATAATGCCAGGCCTCCGCTAGAACTGGATATTTTTGTATTGAAGAATGGTGATTAGAGCTGAATGCTAAAGCTGCTAGCCACCGGGCAACCTATGTAGTCTTTCCCTCATCGGTTTATCCTCTCAACAGAATTGTGAGGAAGGCTGATTTGTTCAAGGTCACTCAAAGAGCTTCAGGGTTGAGTTTGGTTAGCACTGTTATGTCACACTAGTAGGGGGGTCTAGTAGACTGCTAAAGTCTACTAAATACATAGTCATAATGGGTCTCCAAGTGCCCCCAAATGCCCAGTGACTCTGAAGACTGAGTTTTTACATGCCTCTATTCTATTCTGTTAAGAGTGCGGTCTCTAATCTGGGAGAACTGGGCTTGATTCCCCATGCCTCCACATGCAGCTGCTGGTGTGACCTTGGGTCAGTCAAAAGTTCTCTCAGAGCTGTTCTCTCGAGCAGTTCTCAAAATTGCTCTCTCAGCCCCACCAACCTCACAGGGTGTCAGTTGTGGGGAGGGGAAGGGATTGTAAACCGCTCTGAGACTCCTTCAAGTAATCCAATCTCTTCTTCTTCTATAGGGGAGGGTTGGGTTTTTTTTGGCTTTTTAAGTCTGAAGCCAGTCTTACAGACCATTCATATCATGCACTGAGAATCTGCCTGTCAGCCCATTCTCAAACTAATTCTTTAAGCCTGACTTTTCAACAATTGAAAATGCATGTCTGTGAAATCTTGCTTCTTTTTCCTGGATCTTGTCTACGACTGACTATTTGTTCTTGCGTGAAGTAATTGAAAACCCTTGGGATGACGGCTTAATCCGCCAGCTTCTGTCTGAGGTGCCTCAGCCAATAAGTGCTTACTCAAATACTTTTGAATGGGAAGCGAACCTTCCAGTTCTGAAGCCTAAGGCTCGACTCAGATTGGGTAAGAGACACACATAGTGCTTGCTTAGTTTGTTTTGGTAAGTTTGTTTTGGTGAGTGATGCAAATAGTGAAAATTCTGAAAAGTGATCTGTTTGGGTTCATTGGATGTGTTCCAGGTGCGGGGTGGTGGTGGAGCAGCTGAAGCCCAACATGGGTCTTGTCTGCGTTCTGTACGCTTGGATAAGTTTTTTGTCTGTGTTGCTCTGAAGTAAATTTGGCGAGGCTCAGGCTCAGCCTGGGGTAAGGCCTAGCATGTACCAATTTACGTGCATTACACAATACCAAAATTATCATCAGGGCTGTGTGTGTCATTATGCTCCGTCCATTTCCTCTCAAGCAGACGGATGGAGCGTAACAACAGGGTCTCAGTTAATTACTCTCCATATTCCACAATTAAGAAGAGTACATTTAAGAGTACATTTAACTGTATCTGAAGAAGTGTGCAGGCACATGAAAGCTTATATCTTGGATAACACTTTGTTGGTCTTAAAGGTGCCACTGGACTCGAGTTTTGTTCTGTTGCTTCAGACCAACATGCCTACCCACCTGAATCTATCATTGGTTGCTAACAGGACAGAGAGAAATGTTTTGTCCCTTTAAAACAGGTTTAATGAGATGTTAATCACCTGGTGGCTGTCTACCTCTATGCCTTGAAAAGCTTCACCTGCCCTATATGGAATGTTCCTCCTACAGAACAAAACAAAAATACAAATGAGAAAGCTAGTAAATCAGAGAGGCCATTTATCCGTGACGTACTAATTTTTTTAAAATCTTGCAGCGAGTTTTACATGGGGAAAATTAAAAAAGAAATTACCCCATCCTTACTCTGTCTGAATTTCTGCAGTCTTTCCCACCACCTCATTTCTGTGTCTTGTGTAGATCAGAAGTAATATTAGATTTAAAAAAAACACACAAAAGTAGCTAGCTACCACTTCTCACATATGCTCTCTGCCTGACACACACTTTCTAATATATGAACCAAGGCATAACATCTGGAAGCAATTTAACCTGTGTTCCATGGAATTCCTTTTGAGAATACGTTAAAAAGGCTGGAATGTTAACACCTGCCCCTTGCTGAAATGGATAATTTTTGCTGTGTTCTAAGAGATTCTATAACTTTCCCCCCTCTTCTTCCTAAACTGCATCAGGATCCACATCCTTCCACATTGACTGTTTACTTGGAGAAGGAGCTTTTGCACATGTCTATCAAGCCTCTATCCTTGACATGGCCAACACAAGAAATAATCGGAAAGTGGTATTGAAAGTAAGTGAGTTTGGTTCTAATTTTAACTGTTTCCCTAAAACTACACAATACCATTGTAAAAAGCACTTTGAATAATACTGAATAAGGAAGTGTAAAAAAAAAAATCATTTCTTTTCAGTTTCAGTTCTGTTGGACCCAAAAGTATTGGTCTTGCCAAATTCCAAATATCAATATGGTATTCGGATTTGGGTTTTTTCTGTTTCCAAATTTAAGATATAGACACCAAAATTGCTGTGGAGCTGCTGATGCCTGTCCTTTAGATAAGCCATAAGTTTCAAGTGGATTGAACTAAGGGGTCCAGTTTTATGGGCTGCTGAACAGGGTGCCCCCGACTGTTCTCCATTTTTTCCTGTGGAGCAGAAAGAAAAAACCTGCAAGCTGCTTCCAGGGCAAAAAACCATGCCTGCAAGTAGCAATCACTGAGAACCAACAGCAAGTCCAACAGAACCATTGCAGAACCCAGTAATCCCAGTAGAACCACTAGCTAACATGCCAAGCCAAACAGAACCAAAATCAAACCAAAAAATCTCTGCAGTAGAAACTGAAGGGGAGGCATTTTTGCAAACCCAGCAGAACCAAAGGCTCAGTGTTCAGAATGCCCAGCAGAACCAGTGCCACTGTGGCAGTGCAAACCCAGCAGGACTGATGCCCACTATAGTTCAAAGCTGAACTTTTTGTTTTGTAGGTACAGAAGTCTGCAAGCCCCTGGGAATTCTACATAGCAACTCAACTGACAGAAAGGCTTAAGCCAAGCATGCGTCATCTTTTCATCCATTTCTATTCAGCTCACTTCTTCCAAAATGGAAGTATTTTAGTTGGAGAACTTTACGGTTATGGAACTTTGCTGGTAAGTCATAGAATCACAGAGTTGGAAGGGGCCATACAGGCCATCTAGTCCAACCCCCTGCTCAACGCAGGATCAGTCTAGAGCATCCCTGGCAATTGTTTGTTCAGCTGCTGCTTAAAGACTTCCAGTGAGGGGGAGCTCACCACCTCCCTAGGCAGCTGATTCCACTGTTGCACAAGTCTTACTGTAAAAAGGTTTTTCCTAATATCCAGCCAGTACCTTCCCACCCTTAATTTAAACCCACTATTGTGAGACCTATCCTCTGCTGCCAACAGGAGCAGCTCCCTGCCCTCCTCTGAGTGACAGCCCTTCAGATACTTTAAGAGAGCAATTATGTCCCCCCTCAACCTCCTCTTCTCCAGACTAAACATTCCCAAATCCCTCAGCCTTTCCTCATAGTGCTTGATCTCCAGAACTTGTGGTCTGGGTCTAAAAGGACTGCCTACTTCCACATGAACATACCCAACCACTACAGTAATCTTTGAGGGGCTGGCTTTGGGCGCCCACATCATTTGAGTCTGGATGCATGTCAACCTGGGAAAGGGCCTTCTTAGTCATAGCCCCCAAATTGTCTGTCCCCTTCTATAATTCCGTTCCACTAGTGGGTGAAGACTTTTGTCTGGTGTTCCCTCACAGATTCTCATTTACCATTCCTCCTGTTTGTGTGCTTTTTTGTATAGTATATATTTATATATATACTCTTGTTTTAATGTTTTTATTGTTTGCCAACTTTGGGACACTAAGTTGGGTGGAAAAGTGGCTTCAAAATAACATTTACATCATGTTAATGCACAGCTTCCATGGATTTTATTCGGGCCAGGTACAAGAGAGCTTCCTAATGGATTGTGCTTCTGCAGCTGAATTTCATGCAGATTTACTCAGAAAGTGCCATTGTTTTGAATGGCTTACTCTTAGATTAGGTGTCTGATAGGAATATAGAAATACTAATGTGTTTGGTCAGTGGCTGCATTATGTTTAAGCAATTTCTCCCCTACTCTGTTTTTAGAACACCATAAATATATATAAAAAACTGCCAGAAAAAGTGATGCCCCAAGCACTGGTCATCTACTTTGCCATAAAAATTCTCCATATGGTCGAAGAGCTTCACAAGTGTGGAATAATTCATGGTGATGTCAAACCTGACAACTTTATTTTTGGTGAAATGCAAGTATTTCATTGTTAAAAAAAATTAAAAGAAAATCTTGTCTTGTCGCATTATGCTTTTTGGTAATAACCATCCTCCTTTTCAATACGCAGGTTTTTGGATGATGACACATGTGATGTTGACAGCATGTCTCATGGCTTGACAATAATTGATTTTGGCCAAAGTATAGACATGAACCTGTTTCCTGATGGAACTGTATTCACAGGGAAGTGTGAAACGTCTGGATTTCAGTGTATTGAAATGTTGATGCACAAACCATGGAATTACCAGGTACTTGTACATGTGGGTTACAAAGAGTGTGTCTATGTATAGATTTGTGTAAACTGGGTCGTTAGCAGAATATTTTTGTGGCTGTGATAACATACTGACTGCCTCAATGTTAACCTTCTGGAAAATGATTCATATTGGGATTATTTCTGTTCACTCACGAGAGGCTGCATGCCAAAGTGCTAAAACTTTATATGGCTTTTACAGTTCACTTCTCATTGTTGAGCCCGATCACAAATAATATTTGACACTGAAAAGCTTTGTCCAAGAACTTAAGATGCAAGAGTATAGGCCCAAATGACACTTGAAGAATGAATGTTTCATTCCTCCCTCCAAACTGTGAAGCTTTTTCTACAGCTCTCCCCTTTTCTCTTTTATTTTTTTCAGACTGATTATTTTGGAATTGCTGGAACAGTGTTCTGCCTACTATCTGGCACATACATGAAAGTTAGAAATGAGGAGGGTGTATGGAAGCCTGAGGGTGTCTTCAGGAGGTTGGTTTTCAAGTGCTTTTTAAATTTTCTTGTCTTCTATTACAATCAGATACTTAAAAATCCAACAAATAATTCTCCATGCTGTGAATTACATGAGCCTAAAATCAACAAGTAGTGACAAAACACCCACAGCTCCCAAGTACTAATGGTATGATAAAATAAAAAGGCATTATTATAGAGTAGGCGAGATTCTTGAGACACCTTCTGATCAGATCAGCCTAGTGAGCTTGAAGGTCTTGCTTTTCCTTTCAAGTCTTCCTTTCATGTCTTCACATGAAGTTAGGTTTTGTTGGGAAGGGGTTGTACAGAGCATCTCAACTTAGAATGCCCTTTGGATTTATTTGTAAGGCTACCAGGAATATAGGTCTGGCATCCTCATGAGTCTTAACACCTGATTTAAACTAAAACTTTGAAATCTGGAAGTAACTAGACTACAGCAGCCAATTTGGGGCATAAAAAACTGAATAGGTAATTTCAGTTCCTCTCCTAAAGGGGTAACAGCAGATTTGTGGGCCTTCGCTGAGAAAGGAACAGGGGAGGAGCTCAGAACTGCAGGTGGCCCCGCTTTGCTCTCTGAGCTTAAAGGCACTTGGAAATTCATGGGATGAAGCACTTGCTTAAGGGGGTGTTATGTTATGTTTTTTCAACACGTTTCTAATAAACATTAAAAAACAGGGTCAAGGCAAGCCAAACAAAAGTCTTCACCTGCTAGCAGTAGACAGTAGAGGAAGACAGACAAATCTCCCTGGGGAGGAAGTTTCAAAGTTTGGGTCTCACAGCAGAGACAGCCCTTTCTCAGGTTGCCACGCATCTAGCCTGATGGCAGGGCCACCCAAAGCAAGCCCTCCACAGCAGACTGGGGTGGACAGGTAGGCTCATATAGAACACAGGTGGCCAAACTGTGGCTCGGGAGCCACATGCAGCTCTTTCACACATATGGTGTGGCTCCTGGCAGGGTAGCTAGGGAAGTGAAGGGTCTTCTCTTCCCTAGCCAGTGTTCCCCTCCCTGGGTAAGCTTGAGGTGGGGGGGGGGAGCAGAGAGAGAAAGCATTTTTTTAAAGCGCCCCGCCGCCAGCTTGGAGAAAGTATTTGTCTCTTTAAATATCATCAATATCTGTTTTTACCCCTTTTGTTTTTATTTCTGGCAGTTTTAATAAAATGCAGGTTTGCATATTTTCCAATAAAACATGTGTGTAAAATTTGTTCATGTCTTGTGGCTCTTACATTAAGCAAGTTTGGCAACCCCTGATATAGAAGAAGGCAGTCCTTCTAGTTACTCCTGGAAGTACTACCACAGAGTTGGGGGGATGGGACTCCAGTGAATATATTTTCTTGGCTGAGGGGGACCACCATTTGCCCTAGAAATGTTAACAGTGGGGTATGGCATTTTTGTATTACGAAATAATTAAGCTGATTCTTTTTACTTTTATGCTTCCTTATCCAGGATTCCACATGCAGACATTTGGAGTGACGTCTTCCACACTTTGCTGAATGTACCAGACTGCAACCATCTGCCTTCTTTGGGTGCTTTACGGGCAAGACTTAGAGAGTTATTTCTGAATACTTATGCTAACAAAGTAAAGATGCTCCGTAACAGGCTTGCAGTGTTGCTTGTGGAAAATAAGCGTTCCCATAAATAAACTCAGATACCCTCAGACCTCACCGGAGAAATAAAATCTCTTCACAAGAAATGGACAAGGTTTAATCAAAGCTACAGCTTGAATAATATGACAAATTGTACAAAGTGGTTAAGATTAAATGATGCAGTTAATCTTTTAGTTTTAAATAAAAACAACCCTCTGAAGAGCTTTGACTCACAAAAGATCTTTCTTGTAGTCTTTAAGATACCAATGGAATTGTTTATTTTTGCTGCTACAGATTAATGTAGCTACCCCTCCGGATGTTTCTTCCGGGAGATGTGAGGAAACAGGTATGTGGAAAACAAGGACAGGGCAATTGCTGTGAAGATGCAGCTAGAAGGAGGGAAATAACAAAAGTGAAGAACCCACCTAACAACGAATGGTTAGTGAAGCCCTCCATATACCAGACTGGGGTCAGCTAATCCCTCCTGTGAGGTCACTAAAGAATAAACACAAATGAAAATTGCTCCATCATGGTGCATGTGAGAGGGGGGGGCCCTACAAGTTTCCCCAGCAGGACAGTGGCAGCTCTCCGGCACCCTTTTGGGTTGGAATGTTGCAGAGTAGTTTCCCAGCTGTTGGATGATTTTTTACAGTACGAAGTCTGTTGCACTCAGACCTGCTCGTGTACACCTGTTTACACAGAAATGTAGTGTATTCCAGCAAGGAAGAAAGATATGCACCTCATTCATCTATGTCTATACATAGCTTTTTATTTTCCCCACATCTTGTTTCACAATGCCTCCACAAAAAATTGCTGGTTGTAGACAACGAGGTTACAAAGTACAGACATTAATACTATGTTTCATGCCAACAGTCTAAATAGTCAAGCATTGTAGACACATTCAGTGTGCTTCCCTTTATTTAAAATATTGTATTTTTCATGATTTACATACTTTAAAAAAAAAAAAACCTGACCACTATGGAATGTTTGATTCTTTGGAGGGAGAAGTCATGGACCAGGGGAGCAATACCTCTTTTCACTGTAAGTGGTAGATGGGATGGGCCTTGCAGTAACTTTGAAGCTTGTAGCCAGGGAGCTGCAGAACGGTCTAGAAAACTGGTCCAGCCACTTCTGGTAATTCCCTTCATTCTCTAGTTTATGCAGCATTGTCAAAGGTAGGGTTCTTCCGGTAAATATCGTCTGCAGAAAGGTTTAAGATCTCATCCAGTGAAGGACCTTCTTCTTCTGGTGATATCTCAGCTTCAAACATGCGTTGAAGTAAAGCATCCACTGTCCTGTATCCTGGGGAAGAAAGAACCACCTGAATTTCTCATTCTTTGTGTGGCTGACTAAATGGATAGGGGGGTCTCTTACTTGAAAGGGTCATTGTCCTCTCTTACAATACACACCATGCAGATAGCATCATGATTCACCTTTAACCTGTACTGCAGAGTCTGGCTATAAATATACAGGATTCACCTGCCTAGAGAAGTCTAGTTTTTTCTCTTCTAGTTCTAGTCTAGAAGTTTCTCTTCTAGTTTTATCCTCCATACTATTCAACCTCTATGTAAAGCCTTTAGGAGAAATCATTCGTAGCTTTGGAACTGGATGTCATCAATATGCAGATGACATCTAGCTTTACATCTCTGTAAAATCCCCTGGTGATACAGTAAAAGTCCTGAGCTGCTGCTTTATTGTGTTTGCATGGCTGAAAGCAAATAAATTGAAGCTAAATCCAGACAAGACAGAAGTTAGGCCAGGTGGGAAGACAGATGTCTTAAAAGATCTTGCGCTTCCCACTTTAGATGGGGTTCAGCTGACCCTTGCTGATTCAGTTTAAGAGACTTGGGGTTATATTGGATTCAGCATTACTGCTGGGGAAGCAAGTTAAAGCAGCTGCAAAAAATGCTTTCTTCCAACTCGGTCTAGCCTGCAAAATGGTCCCCTCTGACTCAGCCAGTCTGGTGACCTGGAGCCATGCCATGGTAACACTGAGACAAAGCTACTGTAATGCACCCTATGTAGGTGTCCCCGCAGTCCATTCGGAGACTGCAGTTCGGTAGAACATGCATATCACTTCCATTATGAGTCAATTCACTGGCTGCCCATCAATTACCAGACTCAGTTCAAGGTATTTATAGACTATCACAGATTAAGCTCTTCACGGCCTTGGCCTTTCTTATCTGTGTGACCTCCTCTGTCCCTGTGCTCCACCACAACAGCTTCACTCACAGCACAGCCTTCTGCAGATACTATCCTATAAATGGGCAAAAACTGATAACCACCTGTACTTGTGCATTCTCCTGTTGCGGTCAGGAAGGCTCCCACTGTCAGAAATGGCTAGAAAGTTGTATTGGTAAATGTAATGACTAACCTACACCTCTGTATTGCTACTTATCACTGTAAGTATGCTCTAGGCTATGTAGTTTCTGGACCACTTAACGTATCACATCTATAAGCTCATGGGGCTGGGCCTCAGTGGTAGAGCATTTGCTTGACATGCAGAAGATGCCAGGTTCACTCCCTGGTATCTCTAGTCATAGAATCGTAGAGGTGGAAGGGACCTCCAGGGTCATCTAGTCCAACCATGGAGAAGATCCCAGGTTCAATCCCTGGTATCTCTAGTCACAGAATCAGAGCTGAATCAGTCAAAAGGATGAAGTAGTAGATTATGTAGAAGACCTCTACCTGAGATCCTGGAGATCCATTGCCAGACTGAGTAGATAGTACTGACCTTGATGGACCAAGGGTCTGACAGAGTATAAGGCAGCTTCATATATGTGTGTGTATGATCTGTTTCAGCTACGTTCGAGATTTCTGTAGTTCAAACCCTATTGTACCATTCACTGGATATCCCATTGCACTGACTGTACTTGTAATCCGCCTTGAATCTCAGTGAGAAAGGTGAACTATAAATAACTAAATGATTATTATGTGACGTGGTACCTTAAAGTGTACTAACTCAAATGTTGATGCCCACAGCAGTACTGCAAGTGTGTTAAGACACAACAGGGCCTGCAGTGCAAAACAGCGTGGGTGGGAAAGGAGACACAAGATGCAGACCTGAGCTGCTCTATGTCCTCTTTCAGTGAGTCTATTCTACTTTTTTTTGTTGCTGTTCTTCCATTCTGGGGGAAAGGAGAATGACTTACACCTATTTTAGTAGTTAAAACAGGAGACAGAGCCATTGAAAACATAGCTCTAAGTGTGGTTAGAGTTTCAGACTAGAATCTGGAGGACCCAGTTTTGAATCCCCACTCTGCAAGGGGAAGGTTGATACTTTCTCTCTCTCTCTTCTTAACCTTGCTCACAGAATTGAAATAGAGGGGAGAAAGATAAGCCATGTTGGTCTGGTCCCCCACTAAGGAGAAATGTGGGGTATAAAATGTGAAAATGGCGAGATGTAAAGCTCCATTGGTTTACTGTGACACTTGCGTTTTTTAAAAATCCAGACATTGTATCAAAGATGGTCACCAGATGTTGGCTTATCTGTAACTTGGAAGTAGTTCCATTTGATATATTCTCTTTAAAAATTACAGAATGGGAAAGATTCCAAAAAGGGCTTCTTGACATCCTACACTCACTTTTTGAAGCAATTTTGAACATCAGCCCTTTAGGCTTCTTCTTTGTTGCTGTCCCTTCTTCACTTCCAAGGTCATTTTCACTGGTTTCCATGTTGTCTATCAGTCTGCCATCCAGTAGTTCTTCCCTGAAAAGAAGCCATCCATCAAGGAATCATGAGACATACCAGCCTTCTTGATATGTTTCTCCCAAAGGCTAGAGGTCATTTATTTGCCATTTGGTGTTACCTACTTCCCCATTCTCATTCCGCTCTCATAACAAAGTCAGTAACATAGACTTTAAAAAGACCTGTTTGAGGTAGCCACAACTAGCTCACAGATACCCCATGGAGATTATTTGCCCTATAGCAAAATCAGGGTTGCTGTATTTTCACATATCCTTCTACCAACATGTGACATTTAAGCTATCCTGACAGCATAATTCTGCAACGTTATAGTGGTTTTGCAGAATAATTCTAGGATTCTTTTACTTATAAGGCCCATAAAGTTCATACAAAAGCCTGTCGATACAGCCACGCCTGGAGGGGCAACCAATCTCTTCAGAAAGTTCCTCCCCATTCTGATTGTTAGGAGTGGGGTGACCCTTGCTGAAGACGTATGAACCCCACCAATCACAGCCAGGCAGAAAAAAGAGATAACAGTTGGGAAGGGATGGCAAAGGAAGCCAAGGACCAAAATTGCTCTTCCCACCCCATGTCATGGTACACCAAACAGCTGCTTGTGCTTTGAAACAAACCTGCCAGTCCTTTCAATACCACAGAAACTGCACCTAGATCAGAAAATGCACACAGACAGCCCCCCCAGTTTTAACTCACCCACAACAATATAACATGGACACTGGTAACAGAGCTTGCAATAAACCCAGGTGCCAACTTTGCTGCCACATGTAGCCAGACAACACAATCACTGGACCTAACAACATCAACTGCAACATCTCACGCCCATACACTTGCTCATCTTCTAACTCTGTATATGCCATCAAATGCCCTTTGGTTCTCTACGGCTGCGGTCACACGGAACATTAGCCACACTAGAGATACGGAAGATAGGCAGATTTTCCGGGCACGATCTTACCACCACATCTGGGAAGCGTAGAGCTCCCGTGGCTTCACCCGAGGCTTCCTGCCAAAGATGCGGGGTAAAAAACTAGTACCTCCGAGGTACTAGTTTCCGGTAACCGCGGGGCAAGGGCGGGCATCTGATCGTGTTTCCGGTGGCATCCGGCACCCGCCCATGTCCCCTTGCAAAAAGGTTCCCCCCCCAAGTCTCCATTGAGGCGCACAAGCACCCAACGGAGCATGCGCATACTTTGGTGTACAGAAAAAAACAAACCCGTTTGCCGCGCTGCAGGATTGTCCTGTGATCGGCACCTCCCCCTTACCCACGGGACCTCGGATCGCGCAACCGCGCGTTATTTTGCCCCGAGGCAAACAGCCACGCCTCCCCCCCGCGATATCCGGTCCGTGTGACTGGGGCCTACATAGGGCAAATCGTACACCAAAGGATAAATGGACACAAATCTGACATCAAGAATCACAAGACTGAGAAACCCATAGGAGAACACTTCAGGCTTCCAGGACATTCAATGGCTGACCTCAAAGTAGCTATTTTATTGCAAAGGAACTTCAGGAACAGACTACAAAGGGAAATTGCTGAGTTGCAAGTTATTACAACATTCAGAACAATGGAACCCCAAGGACTTAACAGGGATATTGATTTCTTATCTCTCTACATATGCTAATCTCATTCAGTCCTTACATCTGTATTCTCACTAATCCTCTTTATTTCTTATTTGGAATAGTAGATTGGAATGGTAGACTGGAATATATTTCTCTGGTCTGGGGAGAGAGGGGATACTCTACACATC